CTCGAGAGGATATCAACCGTCGTCATGGTAAAATGTTATAAACACACTCAACGGCCAATCGAACGCTGTCCACGCACAGAGTCCACAGAGTGGTCAAAGCTACCTCTGCAAAAAGAATCGATTTATGCTTTGTATCTGTAAATTTCTGAAATGGCATCAGTTCATTTTTTTGTAGTTTGGGCCCGAAGTTATCGAAGGACATTTAGGTGTGATCCAGAAGAAATGACGGCTAGGGCATACGGTCGGACCGAAATGTCGAGTTAAACACATTTCTCAAAAATTTGTTTCTCAAAAATACCTCAAGCACTTGTTTAGAGTTATTCCAACAAACATTAAAAAAAACCCAGAAGTACCAAACTCTCAATCACAGACCAGTTACCCAGGGATGTGTACCTTAAGCTCAGAGCTGGTTCAGTGCGTGTTACGGCCGGCACAATATCAAAGCAGAAATTAAGTTGGATTATGTAACACTTTCTCTAATGATAAAACATATATTCCTGTCTACCACTTTGTTTTCTTGTAATATTTTAAGTCAGGGTACACCCTTTCTAAAAATATGCTGCTCAAGATATTTCATCCTATACATTTTTAGAAAAGTGTACCACATAATTGGGGAATTTTGCCTCATTAAAACTTCGTTTCTACTTGAAATCGATAAATAAAGAAGATTTATTCGTCAAAACGAATAGATTTAAGCACCGTGTCGGCGCGTCGTCTCGGCACAACCACGGTTGCACTGTACAAGCTGCATGCTGCAACGCGTGTCATGTGGTCGCGAGTTTTCTCGAGAAAAGTCGAGAGCGCCTACGGCATAATAACAATCCGTAACACGCATGGAACCAAGGTCACGCATGTGTTTGCACTGGGGCCGCTCGCGGGTGCACATCCCTGGGTAAATGGGTCCGTGTCTCAATGAAGTTAAATTAGACACATAAGATCATTTTGAGAATTCTACCATCAAGAATCCTTAACTCGTCCTCCCCACTTTTACTGTCCAAATACTGACATCCTTGGTATTCTTTCCATCTTTTCTAGCGACCTTCTCTTTCCCCCCCTTGCTGGATATAGCGACGTGGCTTTGACCGCTACCGTCCCTTTCGCAATCCGCCAATTGACCACGGCGCCATCTGGACTCGGTGGAGCCGTCGAGGCGCATTAATGTAGTATCAACAAGGGAATGTTTCTCCCCGATAATCCGTCACTCGCCCGGGAAGGACTCCATTTCCCGATCAGCACGGCTGGCAAAACCCCCTCGTCAAAGCAGTCTGACACGCGCACCACGCCTATAGAGACTCCTTCGACCCGCATTAATGCTGTTTTTCACATTCTGCTGGATTGCCAGGGAATTTTTGCCCGGCGGGCTTTCATGCCCCGGGCGCTCACCCCTAGCGCCATCTTCCTCCCGTTTCGCAAACATTGAAAGTGACACCCTTCCAGAACCAACTTCATGAATTTTTTATATAAAAATACCCACACTGTCACAGATTTGCCTTTCAAAGATCGCCAGTGTTGAGGGAGAGAAAAAGAATCCGATTGAAATTGGAAAGACGGACGAGCATATTTGACACAATTCGGACTTCCTTGTTACGTAGGTCGGCCACTGTGGATCGGGAAAATGAGAGGGTGAGAGTTGAACCAGAGACCGGGTCCTTTCAAGTGAAGGTGTCCTCGTCACAATGGCAAGCTTACTGGAATTCATTGGTCGCTTCCAGTCTCATGTTGCAAAATACGTTGGGCTTCTGTAATAATCCAATACGCCACAAGAGTCTTCTTGGAGCAAGACTCGAACCGAGGACCGTATGGTTGGAAGTGCAGTCGAGTCATAGCCCTATAACTATAACCCAGTTTTTCCTAAATCATCTTGTCTCTTTCATTTCCGTGCTGCAAAATGGGAAAGAATGACAATTCGCTCAAATACGCCCACTGATGTCCTTTTGAAATGGGAGTCCGACCCGGGACCCGATAATTGAAATGGTAGGTGATTTCACCCCTTCATGGGTACCGGGCTGGACCAAGAGAGGGCGCATTTTCTTAGCAACGGAGGGGTCGCCTCGCTACCAACAAATTGAGCACTCCTGACCAAAGCGGCTCTTTTTAACCGATACGGGAATGCTTCTGCTCGGGGCGCGCACAAGAGAGCTTCCAGGATGGGCTGGCAGGCTTTAATCTCGTATTTAAAAATAGGAAAGTTTCGAGTCAAAACGACCCTAGCATAGAGCAAACATGTCGTTTTAAAACTGTTTTAGCGATTCATTACAGTGAGGTATCTTTAACGAAGCAGCCACAAAGCGATTTAATACAAAACATACGAGCATTGTGCATAGATTTCGTCACCGCAGGTTTTTTCCACTGTAATGGTTCTACATGTACGCAGAAAGGGCGAAAAGTTATTGACTTTGTGAGCACGTCTCCAAAAGCCGTCAGAATCACGTACATCCATTCATTAATAGGATTGAGTTTCAAGCTTTTATTTGCTTTAAGCAATGATTTCCGGAACGCAGAGTACACCCCCCGGTACTGGTGTCGCACGAAATCTGTAGGCCTACTCCCATGTAACTCTGTACTTTTTTCCTGCTGCCTAGTTATTATGCACCTTACAGGGAGCCCGATTTTTACGGAGTTTTCACCGCACCTTAGCGTTCCTATAATGCCGCATGCTCACGCGCCATGCATCACAGTTAGATCCTCTCAAAATGACACGAGTGGTTTTCCTGTTTGGTTTCCCTAATGTTGTGTTTTCGTCCGATTGGAACGTCAAGTTCTGAAAGAATTATCACCGCAAATATCGCCGCGTATCTGTAGTTTAGATCAGTCAAGGTCCGCTGAAACCGGCCTACCTCCGTATTTTTTTTCGTATTCCGTCCGTAGTCCGCCGCGCGGCCCTCGGGCCGTGGCCGAGAATTGTTATTCTTTATATCTTGCCGCCATCAGATGCATATCAATTATTCACGCTCTCTGCAATCGATACGGGCCATTGTAGAGCTCTGTGCCTGATACTCCGGCGTCCAGTTTTTTTGTGTGCGCCTGCATTGTAAACCTTGTGCCTTTTCCCTTTTCGTCGCCACGGCAATGCCGCGCATGCAATCCTTCAATTATCGCGATAATCATTTTTCATGAATAAGATATACACAGCGTGGCGTGGGGAGTTTGTTTTGGGTTTTTTTTTTTACTCCCTTTTAGCTCTCTCGGCGATCGATTTCAGTGGTGTGTGGAATTTCCGCCGCTCGAGTGAGGCTCGAGCCTGGCGCGTATCTCGTGAGGTACTGACCGTGGCTGAGGTCAGCCTAACGCGGTTGTGACCGTGAACCCCAGAGGATGCATAAGCTGTCGGCAGACAGCCTCTATCAGATACGTGGAAAGCATCGCATGACTTCACTGCGTTTTCTCTTTCGCAAGTCCGTTCACACTGCACCAATAATGGTCGGCCTCCGTTGCAAACAAAGCTATAAATTCACGACGAATGAAAATACCATTTCATGGCATTACCAATAAAGGCGCAGCCAAAACCAAATTCAAAATATCCTTCTCTTTAAAAAGATCCAGGTCACAAAAGACGGAATATGAATATTTTTACAATAACTGTTTGCCAATTGAGATTAATTCACACGAACTACAGCGTAGGGCACATACATGCATAGGCCTTTGAAGAATGTCATGTAATAGGATTTCTATTTGCACACAGTCTGAGCCGAATTTAGTTAATGGGGCATCCCTTTTAAATTAGTCCTCTTGATAAAACAGAGCTCTGAAAAATCTTGGTGCCTGATTATTTTGCAGTTCATCATACCGACTCTCAAACACTGCAGCACTGGTGCTCGGCTCCTCTGAGTTTTGTTGGTATTCGTCAACACTGGCCAGTGTAGCTACTGGCTCACGGCTAATTGTGCATTAATTCTGGCCTGACGTCTCTTTGGCGTACACCACTTTACACAAACTTCCACAAGAGTAGAAACAGATCGCTCAGAATTGACACACTGCAGAAACCGGGGTGTTAAATTGGTGTTAATTCAACACCTTGGGTGTTATCGGAGGACTACACTCCGTCTGTTGTAGTCCTCCGATAACACGCAGGGTGTTAAATTAACAGAGCAGTTTTTGCAGACAGAGCAGCTGTCTTTTACGTGATGTGCTTTCTCATTATGCTGCAACGGGGTCTCCGGGTAACCTCTTCCCCTCTCTCAGAGCAGGTGAAAATTGGGCCCGGTCGGATTCGCAGGCTGCGACTGAGGCAGCAGGCAGGCCTTCTCTATCTCCCCAGGGCCGAGGGAGAGCTTATTTCGACGACGACACCTCAAAAAATAAGCATTTGCTGCTTCAAAACGGAGAAGCATGACTATGACAGAGAAGAAGGTGTTCCAAATTCCTCGCTTTTGCACCTGTTCATGTGTACGCGTTTTCCCCTTCCGGCTCACCGCGTCACCACGATTCATACTGATGCTCAAGCACGCGCAGACCGATCTCACATCCAACGAAATTCGGAAACGTATCCGCCTTATTCTCGACAACTTGATTTGCCGAAGCGTGGGAAGGGTCGGGTAACCGCTAAACAGCCTTAGACTGCGTCAGAAAAAAAAATTGACGGCTTACAACAGATCGTGTGGCTGTTCAAGCTGCCAAGCCGCCTTATGAATTTACCTTAGGCTTATGTGTTAATATACGTAATGTTCTGGCACAGATCAGCAGTAAGTGTAACCTGCAACTGACCGTCGGCCAAGCGAGTTAACTTGAATCATACCACAACAATGCGCTGGTTTGGCAGGGCGAAAGACTAGTGCCAAGAATTTTGAGATGCATGAACAGCTATCTAACAAGGCCGGAGAGAGCAAACAAGCTCTATGTTTCCTCGACATTTTTTGGAAATCCTTAACCCTAAAATCCCCATAGATTTTATCTGTGAGGACTCAAAATCACGTCCTCTCTCAAATTGAGTCCTCACATAATTATCTCACATTTGTTTCATTACGTCAAAATAGGACACAGTTTTATACGAGTTGGCTTACTTTTGTTCCTCTTTGGCCTCCCCCGTCCGACAGCACTTTTGGTAGTCCGGTCCCGGTCGTCCATCGCTGCAACATTCCGTGAACTTGTTGAGCGAGCCGTCGTCGTTGTAGGCAGGGCAGTAGTACGAGTTGCCGGGCAGGTCCTCGGACTTGCTGCGGTCCACGATGCAGAACGTCCCGCTCTTCAGGAGCTCCGAGGACGCAGTGTGAACTGCATCAACAGATGAGAGGAGCTTGTAAAGAACAGGTAGATTTGTGGGATGTGGTTTTGGATATACCAGTGACTGAAATTTCGGAATTACAGTCCAGACAGTCACAGGTCCTCAGTGGTTGATCACAAGTCCACCGCAAGTCTAGCCTTAAGAGGGTCACAAGCCAGGACCACAAGTTTATAAAGATGGCGGAGAGCATCCAGAAAGAGTACATTCGTCATGTTTCAATCGAAACGCGGAACTACCCCGGTTCATCCCCCCACAAAAATGGAACACAACATCCAATCAATCGCATACCGATAGGACTGTCCAATAAGCCTTTGGCAAGTTAAATTTGAATAAAGTCTGGTTAGAGTTCTTTAAATTCACCTGTACATAACAATTAGAATTCTCCATATGAAAGGCACTGTTGCTATACTGCGTGGTTCAGGGTAATTAGCTTTTGCTTAGTTACGTAAGAGACGCCTTGCAACAATACACTACTTTCAAGGATAAGAAGGGCACAAAGGAACCAGTCCATTCCAGAGACGGTGGTCGCTATGCAAAATCTTGCCCCGAATCACAAGGTTTTGCAGCAGTGTCTGTAGTCTGGGGAATTCAAGTTGTTATGTTTATGTGCAATCAAATAACTGAGTGTACCAGATTTTATTCAATTTAACTTGCAAAAGGCTTATTCCCCCGGTCTATTTGCACATTAATTGAATGAAGCCATGCAGCTGATGCATAGTGTAACAACTTCAGCTGGGTATGACGTCAGGAGAGTGAAGGGGCACGGCGCATCATGGGAGACCCATCCCTTGATCCTTAATTTTAGCCTCTCCATTTTTCGGCACCCTATTTCAATAGCTAAAAATCAAATACAACCCTTCACACAAGAGCCTTGCAAAAGGTGAAGAAATGAAGAAGATATGCAGAATGTATTTCATATTATATGTGTGGTATGAAATCTAGTCCTTAAAAGGGCATGGCCAGCACCGGATCGTGGGCTAGAGGTTGGACCCTTTACCCAGTGAGGTTTGCCCCTCACTAAAATTAAAAGTAGGCCAATAAATTCAATGGTGAAATTCCGTTCTTTTCTCGAATTGCCAACAATTCCACGGCTATACCCCCCAACCCAAGCCCTCATACATCAATCCCTGCTTCCTGAAAGCTAGACCTAGCCCACATCTAAAAGTCATCGGCTTCTGTCTTGTCCTTGCGCTCTGAGAGAAAATCATGAAACAACTCAGCCTCAGACGCAACTGTTGGCACAGTATCTCACGACCACCTTGTTATCGCCTTGAATTGAAAATGGGTTCACAGACCTCTGTCGGTATTTGCTATCGACTTAGCAAGAGAGGCAAGAGTAATCCCGACCTCGGGGGCACCTTTAATTCCAAAAAAACCTAGCAGGAGGGCCGGGTGCTAAAGAAAAACAAATACAGAAATCAAGGGTCGAAAATGCTAAGCACACGTTGTCGAAATCGAGTTCCTCCCCGTAAGTCTCTGAGTGTCCTGGAATATAGGATTGTAAAGTCTAGCCCTAAGCCACAAAGCAGTGTTAACCGAGTACTTCGTATCGAGTGGGAAATGTAGATTATTGGACATGCAGTCTCACATTCGTAGGCTCCAATTGGGCGGAATTTCGGATCGCCTTAGTGTACAAAATTCGCTACCGTGACGTCATTCAGAGGTCAGAGTTGGAAACCGTGTGGCCACACTCAATTCCCATAAGCAGAAGCTGCATACTGATTTCATATCTACTTTCTCAGGATGATTTCGTGTCACACAACATTAAAATTACACTTCAGTAAAGGCCTATAATTCGGATAAGACTAGACCCCATGCAACATTGAAAGGGCATTTTGTTGCTCTAAAGTCACGCCACGCCACAAATTATTAACTGATTCTTTTTTAGAGCTGCAGAGGGCTGGAACTCGCTTAGCACTTGAGAAGTTGTACTTAGCAGCGAAGGTCACGAGCTGAAAATACCACGCGGTGAAACTTGCTTGTCATAGGTTCCGGCATCTAATTTCCACTGGGTACAAAAAAGCGCTGAGCAGTTGGGGCCAATTTTATTAAGCACAAAAAAGCCTTGCTTAACCTTAAACAACAAAGGTTACCAGCTCAAAATCTAATTGATTTGCATGCTAACCAAAAGACAGGTGAATACCATTCCAAAACAATATACATCACATGGAGTTTGGGCTGGTAACCTGATTTATCAAGCAAGGTGTTTTCATGCTTGAGCAAATTTTATGCTTAAGACGCTCAATGAAATTGGTCCAAGTCTCTGCAGTTCAATTAATCCAGTAACCTTCTCTTTTCCCTTCATGCAGTCACCACGTTGCTGATATTTTCACTACATAACGAGAGTATCACATTCGCTTCACTATAAATCACCTTTGAGACACCCTCGGGTGAGACCGGCAGGCCCTTGTTTGTCAGTTTTGTCCATTAGTTTATTTTATTTCCACCCAAAAGGCCTCCGAAACTGCCTCTGTTATTGTTCCCAAAACATCCATCATTCAAAAGCACGCCAATTTCAGACCGCTCCATGTTCTCCATGTGCTCGATTCTTTTTTTTTTCCTCTTGGAGACCTGATATCTTTCGTCTCAACGGTCTTCCTGTCAGCCAAGATTAATCTGGATCAATTTCCCGTATCTTTTGACGAGCGAAGTTGTGTCCTGAGGACACCCATTTCTTTCACCGATTCCTCTAAGAATTCGTCATGAACTGCTCCGCTTGAGGGTATTTTCCAAACACAAAAATCGGATGACGAGTAAAAAAAAAAGTCGTGGCTGTACATGCAGTTCTTGTTTTTCGCACATCTAGCAGAGATATTATGGTCTTGATACTCATCCATTTAGTGAATAATTTATGACCAACCATAGACAGCTGTATGAACAGACATGTTCAACTTGAATATTTGGTTTTACGTAATTATTCAAAATAGATTTTAGGATTTATTCACTGATTATGCGCATTATATACAGCAAGAAATGAGACCGAGGGGTACCCCCCCACATGTCTAATCGTTATACTGCAAAAACCGGGGTGTTAAAATTTAACACCCGCGGTGTTATCAGAAGACTACACCAATACTTTTCACTGGTGTTAAAATTTTGGTGTTATTTGGTGTTACTTGTAACACCTTCTAGTGCACTGTAACACTTATAGCTGTGCAAAGTAACGTCATTAGTGTTAAAGTAACACCCTATGGTGTGGTCATCTGATAACACCCAAAAGTGTTGATTTTAACACCCGAGGTTTTACAGTGTATACACACTCTAGACTGTTGTTACCTAGCACACCCCCCCCCCGATGTCTGAAAAGAATTCCTCAGATTCCAGTGAGACAATGACCAACACAAAGCAGGGTGGGTTCTCTGTCTCATATCTTGCTCCTCATGGTCTTCACCATACGCGTAAATACTCCGAGACTCAACCGAGAGTTGGAAGGAATTATCTAATTGCATTAACCCCACGTTTCACTGCAAACAGAAAAACGTGAGAAAATCGGCCTACCGCACCTCAGAGGGAAAAAAGTGGGAAAAGTGCATTTCCAGACACACTTTGTGGAAAGGAGATCATACAGTTCCCCCTCAAAACTACTCCATATAGGCCTGTGGGACACTGAGATGGTCAGCAGATCCGTGGGTGGGTTATTCAGTAGGTACAAAGGACATGGGCTTTTGACAAAGTCGGGGTCCAACGAAAAATGCAATGGTCTGCCAAAATGCTGTGGGCGCGGGCGCAGTTTCTTACGGCTTAGCATGAACGCGAAATGAGACGCTGAACTGCAGACGAGCACCGTAAAATTCGGTCGAAGTGAAGCGCCTATTATACAAAACACGGATGCCTGTAAGGCCTGCAAAACACATGCTTCCTATAGGTGTATGTAACACTTAACAATTTGGTCCCATACAAGACAGCTTTCGGAGGTTTGAAAAAAAAAGACTGGTTCTCTAAGAGGGATTTCACCAGACAACACTTTAATATGGCAGCCCTGCGGTGCGACAAGACGTGCAGCCTGCCCACGATCACTTTCGAGTTATTACATCGCTGCCCGTCCTCGAGGTGTTCCTGAAGGGCCATTCCTGGGCAATCATGTGCGGATATTGGCGTTCCTCGAGTGGCTGGCTGGTATTCCGCGCGCGTCTGCCATTCCGCTGCGGAACAACTCTGGCGCGAAATCGGACGACACAATTCTGGAATATTGGCTCACATGTTTCGTTTCGCTTTGAAAGAGTCGTTGGCGTGTTTTTTTTTTAATAAACAGGCTCATCGAGGCAATCGATATTTTCACACGGATAATGTGAGAAGTTTTGCTTCAGCTGACGCACGTACTCGTTTTTATTAAGTTAAACATAAGTTTGGGGTCTGTTGCTTTACTTGGTCGTTAAAAAGGGGCGGGTTTGGAACCAAACTTTCGAGTGGCCAAAATTGATTTTGATGGAGCAAAAAACACCCATCAAAATTTGTTGGTGTAGCCCTGATGTCATGAAGTATCAGATTTCTTGTGTCAGAATTTAATGATGGGCAGACCATCCTTCAGTTCCGTCCTCGTCATCTCTGTAAGGATTAGACCATTCCTCCTCATATCGTTGTGGTGTGTGTCCAAATTGTGCCCCCATAGGACTGAGTTGTGTGGAACTGCACTCAAAGGGATAATGAAGTCCGCGACACGTGTCGGTCTATGAATCAGACGCGTGAATCTGGGTTAGCGCCTTGGTAATTGTACCCTAAAAGATGTAAACCAGACTATGAAACATCAGAGTAGGCCATTCGAAGATTTCGTCTCAAGTCACTGTCCTCGCCGTTGATTCTCCCCATGGTGACGCAACAGCGCGTTGCACGGTGTCTCCGTTCCCACGGAAACGGCGTTTAATCGGACGCAATAAAAAGCACTTTAGCGCATTTCCGGACTGCGCAGATGGAGTGAAGAATTGATCGCCGTGCCATTAAACAGACACATCGCGTCTTCTTTTTGAAGGGCCGGAGACGCCGCTATATCTGG